CCAATACACGCCAGTCCGCTGTTTTATTTACGGATTCTCTTTACGTCTTTTGTAGCCTTACGTACTCCTGTCGACGTCGTCTCCAATGCAGTTAGGATTTTTGCTGGCATGGTTTAGCCGATCAAACTAGAGTTTTCGTCCTATTTAGAGAATGGAGCCCTTCGTTCGATTTATTTAAACATTGTAAACGTTTACGGATGTAAGTCCCTGGCAGTAAGCCTTTCTCGAAGACCGACAGTTGAAATATTCTTTGCATTAAATCTCAAAACTGTCCTAATTCAGCAAGTATGTTTCCAGCAAATGTGAATTTTCACTCATCTTTTGCAATCTAAAATTTATTTTTTTTCAAAATCCCCACGCCAACAGTTCCTATAAACTCTGATGCGCCCCTCGAGCATTGAAATTAGCAAGTACGTCGATGTTAGGACGGCATGTCGATTCTTAGTAAACGAAGAAAGTAGACAGGACATTTGACCTAAGCTCCACTGCAATTTCGTAAGAACAAATCAACGCACTTAGCCGCTTGACCTTCAGGCACTCGGAAACGTGGCGTGCGGAGCGAGAAGTGACTTTGGCTTCGAGATCACTCCGCGAGCGTGGATGATCTGCTCATAAGCTGTAGAATCTATCCAGCGGAGGGGTGTTCACCGCTTTGTCTTGCCAAATATTAAGCGAAATATGATTTAGTGAATGGTTGTTAGAATAAAAGTCACAGTCAGATGGTAATTAGACTCTCCCCAAAAGATAAAATAAGTTGTGTTATGTTGCTGTAATCAGCACCAATTGTTCACCGCAAGTTGCATATTTGTTTTTTATTAATTTCAATGTTACCAGTCTAAACAATAATTGGAAATGATAGGTAGTAGGACCAACAACTAACTTAAGCTAAGCTGTGGACCGTCTTATACTTTCAGTGGTTGTACAGGTAAATTTACATGTTGGGCAACATACAAGGCTGAAAGCAAGAAGACACTGAAAATATAAATATCTTACCGTAAGTCTTCTTGTACGCTGTTATTTGACAAAGAAAATGAGCGTGATAATCAAAGAAGAAACAAAAACGCAATCTCGAAGTTTTGGCGGACTGAGCGAAGTGTCGCTTACAAGCTTCAATTTAGTCAGGATGAAAGGAAATTTCAAAACATCAGGAACGATTGCCATCTTCCTGTGGACCAAACGCCCGATCGTTGCCCTAGAACTCGAGTTTAGCTTGAGTGACCGATCTCATAAAATATTGGCTGAAATTTTGAAATGCGTTTTCGATTAGGAAATACTACTTAGGCGCAGTTGCAAGACCGATTATCCTGCGGCGCAATCTGATAATTCGATGCCAGCTTTTGCATGCACTGTTGTTTAATCTTCTGTAGAAAGCATTGTCGATAAAACATGACTTCTTATATGAAATTCATTTTTACGTTGGTTTTCGATAGTTTTGCATATTCAAATATATTTCACAGACATTTTGAGCAAAAAAGTGCTTTCTTTCAGTCGTTAAATAGAGTATCCAGTTTTTTTTCATATTTTATACTCGAAGGAGAAATCTTGTTAGGTAGTCGAAAACGTTTTCTGATAACCTTATAATGTGGAGCCGTATCAGTCGCTGCGTTAAGGTCTAGTGGTTTTACTATACAAGATGCATGTGGTCCGCGTAAAGAAAATCACGCATTTTTCTATGTCTTTAAAAGGATACTATGCAGAGTGCATGCAATGTAGTAAATTTACAGGTACGATGCTATATTAATTAATATTAGACAGTCTAAAAATATCATAATAAGAAACGTTGTTAAAAACCTAATTAGATTCATCCTTCGAGGATAAAATATAAAGAGGACGTGATTATCTATTCAACAACTTAACAACATATTTTTGTGATTTGCTTTTGCGATACTAACGTAAATCAGTGTGAATAATTAATACTATATAAGTAGTCATTTTTACTGACAACGCTTTCGGCTACTTGTTATACAACCCCAGCATCATTTGGCTTATTAATCACTGAAAACCATATACGTAAAACAAAACGGATGAATGATCAGTCCTCGCAGTCTTTGCGCCTAGGCGCACTCCCAGTCCGACAGACTTGAACATACAGATGACTCGTGAAAGATGGGTTAGTCGTGTGTGTGTGAATGTATGTGAGAGAGATGGAGACCTGTCTTTAAGACAAGCCATGCGGTAGACGCAATAAACCAACAATTCGGACAAGTCAGAGACGGGCAGGCGTTATACGGGATGGAACCTCGTACACATGTGATTATTTGGGGTTTGGCGGCATGCTCTTTTGCCAGCTTACTCCCCACAAAATGAGATGTATGCCACACCCCTACGTGCGTTGTGGTAAAGTATCCGGATTGTGTGCGTTGAAGACCATGATGTATAAAGGTACGCATAGGTGGGTTTTGTCGCCATGCAAGCAACCCGCGTTCTCTCCTGCCTCCAACGGCATTTGTCATTTACAAGCTGCTTAACTTTATCTTCCCATCAGATGCTATTGAGGAAGTAAAATAAATAAAGATGAATGGCGGGCAAGGCTATACTCGTTAGAGGCTAATTTTCGCGAATGTTACCGTCCCTATTTTCACCGTGCTGCAGAGCACGCGGTGGACATCGTCGAAATCGAAGATCGTAGCATCGTCGTGGGTGTGTAGTCAGATAGATACGGATAATCAAGCGATTCCCTATCTCCGCACCCGACTCAATTAGCCCTGCTTCGGTATAACTACAACAAAGTGACGGTTAGTTTTTGCGTTGGCATCTGACTCCCAAACATCCCTTTGTACGCGTTAGACACTGTGATCCGTTGAATTGCACGGGTAAACCCTGCAAGGATACGGGGTTATCGCATGTGGTTAGTCCTAAATTTGTTCAGAAGTCTTAATCTGCAGAAGGATGCACTCCTCATCAACCCACTATAGTGTACATAATTCGGTATTCTTCTAGAAAAGATAGTTAATAACATTAAAATATTTGTAATTCTTCAGCCGCAAATAACATAAAGAAGGGGGTTATTTCTCAATCACGATATTCCCGGACTTCATTTTATATAGCCCGATGTAAGAACTAATGTAAGATGTAGGTTTAGCCAAGCGTATGTCAAACTTGGGATAAATCGAAAATCATTTCGCATTTTAAGTCAGCCTGTGCACAGCATAACCGAACAGTCCGCACCCGAATCGTTCTCTTCTAACATCTCCGGAGAAAATGAAATAACGACACTATGAATTCGCTTCCTGCCACAGCAAACGCATAAGTCGTCACTTCTGACCCAACCCGCACAATAACGACAAATTGCACTCCTTTGGAGCTGCGTCCTCACCCACCCTCCACATAATCATTGGCACAAATCAAATGGCGAAGTCTACCACTGCTCCTACTCCCATGAAGGATGAAAACACTCCCAACTCCCAATAACCGCCACCCTCACTCATCACCGCCCCGCTATGGGCATCATCAACCGGCATTCCAACCAATCCTCATTGCGATCGTACATTCACTTCATAAATTGGCCGGATATGCCACCGGCAAATCCATCGTACCTGTGAGAGGACATCAACATAGATCCGCCAAAATTTCTCAACACTTCACACTGTTCGCTCAAATTCACACTCATCATGGACCTACTAGGTCATTCGCATGCCCACCGCATCGTCATTTACCGTAGTATCGATATTTAAAGATTAGCGTAGGTAAATACCCACTCTACCGTGCTAACTTTTGCATAATTCTCTTTATCTGCACTGCTACTATTAAAAACACCACCACGTAGACAGTACAGCAGCTATTAAATTATCCTACGCGCATTGCCACCGCACATGAACACCACGCATTTGCCTGGTCGGCATTTACAAATACCTTCTACTGAGACTGGTGAGCCGGTGTTTGGAACACCAGCGTATGCATCATTTTCGTACAATAGCCATTGAAAATGAACGACCTAGATATTTGAGAGAAGTAAGATATGGTGAAGTCATATCCAAAAGCTTCGTGCAAACTAAATCATGGCATATTCAGTTGCAAAACATGCTGCGACTTTTAAACGATCACAGTGCAAATAAAGGGTGTTTAGAAAGGCTGCCACTTAACGGGATAATGCAGTCTTTCCCGTTGAGGAAGAGCCTGTGGATGCTATCACTTACTACTAATACGACATCCATAACAAATCTACTCCCTTTGTGTCTTTGCCGATTGCATTTCTGTTTTTGGAGAGAGTTAAGTCCATGATGCACAGACCACACGTGTGTAGTAATGATTAGACAAAATGCATAGCCTTGTCCGGCAGGGTTCCCAACACTTCCTGCGGTTTTGTGGACTTTGCCACGACACCGCGCTTAGGAGGTTTAGAGTAAAAACGGGGAATGAAACGTAAGTCAGTTATGATGATAAGCTTTATAATTTTTTGAAACTCAGGGACAATGTACTTGTGCGAAATAGTTGCCACTGCGAATTTAAGGAAGGCAGATTTGCCTACGACCCCAAACCAAGCAAAAGAAAATATCGTAAGAAGTTATTTTTATGTTTTAATGTAATGTGAACAAATTAAAGAGGTTGATTTAATTGCCCAACGATGGTGTCGGGAATTCAATACTGGGAAAATGAAGATGCGATCACCGGAACAAGAAATTCATTTGCCTGACGTTTCGGATCCTTACTCGAATCCATCATCAGAGACATTAGCAGATAAAGGTGATTGTGGCACCAGAAGTGCAGTATTTATAGCACATGGATGCCGTGGGACTGCATCGCACTGCAATTAACAGTTGATGCGGTGGTGGCTTGTCGGTCCGAGTCCGAGTCGTTGATTGCCGCGATTTCGTCATTCGTGCAGGACGCTAGTTTGACGATTGCTCGGCAAACTGGCTCACTGTCACCGTGATGATTGCTCGCCCGCGCCCACCGCACGTGACTGATTCTCCTGCCCAGGGAAAATTGCAGTACGCTATAGGGTACCGGGAGAGCATTACCCGTCGAAGACATTATAATTCAGCAACCTTGTCTTCCATTTAACTGCAGTGCGTCTCAACGCGCCGGTATTGCGCCCTCACACAACTGCGTTTGTGACTGATCGGTTGGTTGCTATTGAAGTTCAGTATTTGCGTCGTATTTGTCGCTTTTCTGAACACTTTGGTTTTTAGGCCACCACAATCTTTTCGGCAGACGAGGACATCCAGGAAGGCCAGCTGATTGTTTTCCTCCTCCTCCATCGTAAATTGGATGTTGGGGAAGACGGCGTTGAGTTGTTCTTTGAACGTCAGCACCTGATCCCGTTCGATAACGACGAAGGTGTCATCCACATACCGAGCCCAAAATTTCGGTCTGTGGTGTCGGAAAACCAGCGACTCTAGCCGTTGTAGGACCAGCTCGGCTATTAGTCCCGTAATCGGCGAACCCATTGGCGTTCCCTTCATCTGCTCGTAGATTGTTCCGCCGAACATAAAGTACGTCTTGAGACAGAACTTCAGGAGCTGGATGATTTGGGCGTGTCTGAGGCGATTCTCCGTTTTGTCATATTTCTTTCGTAGGAGTAGTTCGATGGTTTCGACTGCCAGGTCCTGCGGGATAGAAGTAAAAATGGACGTGACATCAAAGGAAACCATGATATCGCTTGACAGGAGACTTACTCCTTTAAGTTTCTCCAAGAATTGCGTTGACGAGTTGACTGTAGTGTTCGAATCGGAGGTCAGAAACTTGAGACGTTGGAAAAGCCACTTTGCCGGTCCGTATGTTGGAGTGCCCCTTAGTGATACGATAGGCCGGAGAGGAGCGCCCTCTTTGTGCACTTTTGGGAGACCGTAGAATCGGGGTAGGGCCGTTTCTTTTGCTCTCGCCATGCGTCGGTCGATTGACAATATTGCACCTGAGTTCTCCTTGCCAACAGCGTCGCGTTAATCTCGCGTGTCAGCGTTTTCATGGGGTTGGATTCGCATGGGACATAGGACTGACGATCATCCAACAAGCTTTTGGCTTTTTGATTGTAGTCTGTCCTGTCCATTGCGACCGTTTAACGCCCCTTGTCCGCAGGAACGATAACGAGGTTGTTGTCTGCCCTGAGTTCCTTAAGTGCATCACGCTCGACCTTGGAAAGCACGTCGCGCGGCCTATGAGCCATGAGGACGGAGGACACTTGGTATCGAATGCGGTTCTTCGTTTCGTCTGTCGCTCCCGTCTGGCTGAGGATTAATTCCACTGCTGCGATCATGTTGTCAGGTTTGGCATCGGCTGTGTTGAATGAGGCCTCATGCCGTAAAACCTGCATTTGTTCCTCCGTCAGCTCCTTTGACGACAAGTTGTGCACCACTTTGCCGTTCTTGGATGACATTGAAGCAGGCAGCTTACGAAATTTGTTCTCTAGGGCTGCTTCGCGAGTTGCTTTATTTTCGCGGGTTCGTTCGGCCAGCCTCTGCTGAAGCAGTTTTATGCCGTCCTCTCCCATGAACTCGCAGCACCTTGCTTTCTCTTGGTCAATCCTCGGACGGTATTAGCGAATCCGTTAGTGAGAGTCTTAAAGGAGCACTCGGATCATTCGTCGTCATCGAACGGGATCAGGTGCTGACGTTCAAAGAACAACACAACGCCGTCTTCCCGGACATCCAATTTACGATGGAGGAGGAGGAAAACAATCAGCTGGCCTTCCTGGATGTCCTCGTCTGCCGAAAAGATTGTGGTGGCCTAAAAACCAAAGTGTTCAGAAAAGCGACAAATACGACGCAAATACTGAACTTCAATAGCAACCAACCGATCAGTCACAAACGCAGTTGTGTGAGGGCGCAATACCGGCGCGTTGAGACGCACTGCAGTTAAATGGAAGACAAGGTTGCTGAATTAAAATATCTTCGATGGGTAATGAGAGCCAATGGTTACCCGCGCAGCTTTGTCAACCACTGCATACGAAAAGGACACCAGAGACCAAATCCAACTAGCCCCAAATTTTGGCGGGCTCTTCCGTACGTGAAGAACGTCTCGGAAGCCGTCAGTCGTCTTCTCACTCCACTTGGAGTTGGGGTAGCACACAGGCCGGAAGCAACCATTAGGCGCCAAGTAATGAGGCCGAAAGACCCGCTGCCACGGCAGGAAACGTCTGGAGTCGTTTACTGGATCTGGTGTAATTGCGGACAAAGCAATTATGGGAGATTACTCCGTACGCGAATTGCCGAGCACGCAGCAGCAGTGAGACGGGGAGACGCTTACTCTCAAGTGGCGGCACACTCGACGGGACCCGGCCATATTTTTAAATTTCAAGAGGCCGAAATCCTCGTCAGCCGCGAGCTGCTCGAGTCATGGTCCTCAGGCCCGCAATCCATCAACAAGCACAATGACCTCCCGGTACCCTATAGCGTACTGCGATTTTCCCTGGGTAGGAGAATCAGTCACGAGGGGAGGGCGCGGGCGAGCAATCATCACGGTGACAGTGAGCCAGTTTGCCGAGCAATCGTCAAACCAGCATCCAGCACGGATGACGAAATCGCGGCAATCAACGACTCGGACTCGGACCGACAAGCCACCACCGCATCAATTACGGCCCCAGCGGTGATTACGCGAACTGTTAATTGCAGTGCGATGCAGTCCCACGGCATCCATGTGCTATAAATACTGCACTCCTGGTGCCACAATCACCTTTATCTGCTAATGTCTCTGATGATGGATTCGAGTAAGGATCCGAAACGTCAGGCAATAAATTTCTTGTTTCGGTGATCGCATCTTCATCTTTTGAACTGCTACATGTAACTCGCCTGTTCGTTTCTATCAGCAATTCAATACTGTTTCCATCATGAGGTTTCTGTAGGCAAATAGGTTTGACTGCCGCTAGCCGTAAGGGATTCCAATTCACTGCAGATGCCAGTGTTTGATGTCGTAACAACTCATTACCGGGAAATAATCACCTACTCTAGAATGTCGAAAGGCGTATATGACCGCTTTGAGGGTGTTTTGCCGTCCCACCCATGTGCTCGACACTATCCTAATCTGTTTAATCGTATCGGACATTTCATCTCCCTTATGCTTGGCGTCATTTCTGGAACAGATGACGTAGCTTACGTAAAACACAATGATTCATATGCGGTGATTTAGAGTTGCAACTCCTCGGCAACAACCTGACGAAATTTAACTGCTTTCTGCGTTGTGAGACTAAATGGGCTAACTGACTAACCTGAGGAAAATGTAACGTGATTAGCTATGTCGTGCGATATTATGCACGGTCAAGTTTGAGCGATATGTAACGCTGTGATCCGCAACGACCTGTAAAGCAACATACCAAGCAAGCTGGCAATGGATCTTTATCACGCTCAGGGTGTGGATGTTGGCTAACGAATCGAGGATTGACTGACGGCTCTCACAAATCCAACTATTTTTTCATTTTTTGACGCGAGGATGCAATATGCAAATTCAAAATTTGTCCGATCGTTTACCTGCGTTTGCGCTCTCCGTTTCGCGGTTTAGACCTGGTTTTTGTTCCCTACATACGGTCGCATACTGCTTCCTTGCCGACAAGTTTGCTCTACATACGATAATGACGGTAAACAAGCGAGGGTGTAATTAACTGAAGCATGAATACTTATATTGAGGGGTAGCTGGATGGGACAGCGTACAGATGTTCACATATATCAATAACTTGGGATTTAGATTGTACTATTCCCTTTTGTAATGCCGTCCTCTTTAAGGTGGCATCAGCACTACGGCAGACAAAATCACTACTGAAAGACAAGCACTGCTTCCCTGAAATGGTTGGTTATTTCTTTCTTCGGGTAGTCGTCGAGGTATTGTTATAAACTGCAAAAATGGTGCAGTCAACAATATGTTCAACATATTGATTACAATGGATTACAATGGGTGAGAAGATTTTTTAATTATTCATGCACGCCGCATATTTTTGCTCGGTGGCAACGTAAACTGCAAAGCCACAGAAAAAAATAGTTGCCGTGTTCACTGGATATAATGCGGGTTTCTCCTGGGCTAAGGGAGAATTGCTGTCCTATTTGAGCGAAGAGCAGAAAGAATATACTGGCCATCATCAGAGGAATCCATTTTCTGTCTGTGAAAGGCAGGCAAAAAGGACATCTCACAACGTTAGTACGATATAACCTTTCTGATACCTCAACTTGTTAAAGCTCTTCTATACTCTTTAAAACACTCGGAATACTTGGCAGTCTCACGGCATAAATCCTGCTGCACCTACGTTAACAGGGGGTGTTGCAGCTTGCAGGAAATAGGCACACTCACTTGATTTTGATTGATGTTCGATTCATCAACGCCGTGTCTGATGTAATAGGGTTGCGGAGGAGCCTATGTGGAAGCTAAAGACGCCGAAATTTAGAAACATGGTAAAAAGAACGAGGTTCACCAATTACCCTCATAATCAGAGACACGAAAATGTCCCGAAAACTAAGCAAAAATGTAAAAGCTAAATTTTTCCTACCACACATTTGGAAGGCAAAAAGGTCTTGATCGTAGGACTGAAACTTGACATCGCCCTCCACCTAATCCTGTGATGTTTATCGCTGCGTCAAGTAAATACTAACTAAACGCCACCCGTTCACGGATTATTGAAACATCCGTCACGGTGGCGAAATACATCACAATTAATTTTTAGCCGTCACACTCTAGGATATAGACAAAGTCATTTGTTATTTAACAGAAAACGGATCATGTATGCCACCGTTGTCGACTTCATTGCTGACGATATATTTAAAGAGAGGTGGTGCCTCCTGACATCTAACGAGTAGATGACATACGATTTATAAATTTCACGTGAATAGAATTCATTAGTATTCAGAATGCTTAGGTGCGGAATTTGTGTCAGACGTCTATGGGCATGACACAGAAAGTGATCTGCGTAAATTGTTTTGCCATAAAGAGATTTTTCCTTAACTTCAGACAACACATTTCTTACGTTTATCCGTAGTTCCCGGGTCCGTTGGTGGCTCATTTGACCATAGACGCAAGAAATTGCTGAAAAGCAGCTTTGTTCTTGTCTCGTGATTTAAAGCGATAGTTAACATTGCTGAAACCTAGGGCAAATGTTAACCCGAATATATGATGGGTAAAGCCTGTCAGTCAGGCAGGCCGCTCAACCATCCAGCCTACGTTTGTGCCGTATGGTGTCAGCCAGCTATGTCGGTCAGACAGTCGACGCAAGAAAATTGACCTAAAAGGTTCAGAAGTTGTCTTCACTATTAGTCTCAACAGACGACCCATGTGCACACCAATGTTGCAGGTGCCTGACGCTGATTTCGATAACTTGGAGTTTTCTGACAGCACACACATCGTCGTAACCAAACTTAGGCATCCTTAATTGATCTGGGCGGTGTAGGTATTCTGGTTCCACTTACAATCATGTCACAGAGCTGAGCATTCAAAATCTGAATATGTGATAATAGCCGAGTTCTTGGTAAGCCTCTCTCACCTAACCAAAAAAAGCTGGTGGAGAGGACAAATTCTGGAGGGATTCACAGATGCGTCCACCGGTCACATATGCGAAAGCCGTAAAATGAGTGGCATTTTCTGGGGATTTTCCCTCTTAATATGTCGGTTGACATCTCTGCTCGAATATTACTCCTTCGGTCGTGTTAGCATCACAAGCATAGCCTGCATCTTGAGAGTCTCCGCGGATCCTGCATGAATTACGAAATCACTGATATTACTTACAGAGTCAGGTAACCGCAACACAGTCGCTAGGTAAGGAAGGTCATTTAAACAGCATTGTTTATGTCGCCGGTGCCTCATAACGGATATGCAAAATACGGCTTTCATTCGGCATGTTGGCAAGCATAAACATGAGTTGAACCGGTTCCTGGTCTAATTAAACCCAGAACTACCACTCAAACTTTACATGAAAGCTCATCAAACTCCGAGCAATGCGCGAAGTTTAACCCGAATATCACATCAATGGAAACCTAACATTTGCTAATGCACAGTTATTAAAGCTAAATCGGGACACGTTGCAATAAAATCTATTTCTATATTGATGGCAGTTCTATCTCCAACATCAGTCCAAACACCAACAGCAATCCTAACATTAAACCCCAGTACTTATATCTAGCCTTAACATTAATCGTAAACCTTATCGTGCGATAAACGAATTATGTACACTGTACAGTTTCGCAAACAAAAGCCGCAGAGTTGAGGGGATTATCAATGAACAACCGATTAGCAAGCCTACACGCTGGTGTGTCGAATGCGACAAAACTCATTAAAACATGTTTTTTCAAGTGGTCAGTTATCAGCGTACGCCCATCTGAAAGCTAGTCATCATGCAGTAACTGATCCTTGGTACAACTTATAAATGATCAATAGATGCACAACCAGCCAAATCGGATCCTTCAGCTGCGCTCGTTATACTGCCAAGAACTTAATTACATAAGCATTTCAAATTTAGGGTCGTTTTACGAATAAATACTGGATGGCCAAATGTATGTATGCAGATGAACGAAAGTGAAA